GGTTGTGGGACACTCAAAAGCATTAATGAAGAGAAAAGCCTGCGGTGTCTGTGGTGACTCTGGTGAGATCTATATCTCCAGCGGCTCGTGAGATCTGGCTTCTAGTCCGTTGCCACGTGCTTGGTCACTGTTCGTTCCGCGACGCAGACCAAATCCACCCACGCCAGGGCCTCGTGGTTGTCTGACAACACTACTACTATCATTAAAGCTACCGCCATTAATATTCATTCCAGCAACGCTAGATGGCAGGCTGGGAACGGGCGGGATGGCAGAACTACCAAAATTGCTGCCAAAGAGCGAACCGAAACCACCAGGAGAGCGACGAGAAGGGGAAGCAATCGTTGCATAACCTTCCCTGATATTCCCATTTGAAGCACGAGTGGCCAAGCGGGGTGCTTGTGTGTGGAGGGTTTTCATGTCGGGCATCGACTTCTTCATGCGTAAAGAGCTTGCCATCTGCGATTGTGAGGAAGTTGCAGAGAGATATGCAGATGGGGCACGCGACAGGGTCGCAGCCTGAGCCCGTTGAGTCTGATTATTCAATAGTCAGGAACTGACTAAAGCCTTGGCATGTAGGGAAGTACTCACCCTGTTAGGATCGATGCGAGTTACGACGGCGTACCTTTCATCGCCTTCTCCAACCGAATAGTGATACACACCCAACTTCTGGGCAATCAGGTGAACGACCCTTCTCTGCTTAGGTGAAAGCGTCCTCGAAAACGCGAGTTCATCCCTCATTCTGTCGTCCTTGAAAAGTAAGATGCGAGAATAAATTTCCAGAGTAGAAGGATCGTTTAGATCCAGTTCATTAGGGGACGAAGACTTCTCTGATGGATTTGGTGTCGCGGGGGCAATTGGAGGGGATGTGGCGGGGTTAAATGGCTGAGAGATTGGAAGATGAGGCATGGGCGGAGGTGAGTACTGTTGTTGTTGATAGGCACCAGAAGAGAAGGATCGCTGCGGGGTGAAAGCGGGGGCTGTGACGGGACCAAAATCATCGTATGCTTGGTGAACTGCCTGTTGTTGCTCCTTTTCGAGTTGCATGGAACGCATTCGCCTAATAGCCTTTTCTCTTTCAATACGCTCTTTTTCTCCAGCTTGAAGAACTTTCTTGTACTCGACACGAAGCTTACGGCCTTGAACATCAAATCCATTCAAAGCAGCCACGACTGCGTCAGCGTCTGCCGCTTGTCGGAAATTAGCAAAAGCGAGACCACGAAAAGAGCCTTGCTGATCCAGGTGGTAGTTGAACGCGTAGGGAGTAGGAATAGACAAAGAAGCCTAAAACAGAGACATTAGTCGGATCTCATGGTGGAAATCATAACGAACTCACAATAATATCTAGGAGAGTCTCGCGCTTGACGTTGAAAGGAATGTTCTTGACGACGATGGCGGTTGGTATAACCTCATCTTCAGCATTTTGGTTAGGTGTCGAAGGAGCAAGAGCAGATGCTTGTAGATGACCCAAAGGGGGAGAACTACCGGAGGAAGAGAAATCCGAGTTGTTGTGAGGGGATAGAGGGCGATTATCAGGAATGACCATTGAGTTATCAAGCCATTGCTAAGGAATGATTTTAATATTAGGATGTTTTGACAAGAAAATGACTTACGGTGGGAAGACCAGCACGGGTGGGCTTCATCTTGAGAGGAGATGGTGTCATACCGCCTAGAGGATTAAACTGGCCTGAAAGTTGCTGGTTTGCGCTGAACTGATACTGTTGCCTGTTGTCATAATCGTAATTGTCATGGAGGCGAGGATTGAGAGATAGAGAGCCGATGTCAGGCGTTGGAGAGCTTGTCATGATGGTCAAAAGAAAAGAACAAGATTGACCGTAGGTTCTAGGCTAGTCTTCAACTTGATAAACCAGTCGTAACGGCAGTTCGAGAGAGAGAAAAAACAAGGCGAACAGACAAAAAACGTATAAGAAACTCAAGGATGATGAACGCCGAAAATAAGGCTCGTGGCCAAACCAGAACACACCTGTGACACGCCACCCTGATTTCCATGTCACCACACGTTCTTAAGCTCTAGTCTATTCAAAATACTTAAAACCACACAGGACGGTTAAGGCTATACTATGGACACGAAAATCACGGACTGGCAACGTTACAAGTCAATCCCAACAGCCCATCTGGATCAAACAAGAACCAGAAGCAAAAGAATGACGAACCGGCATGGTCGTAACAAGTGCATACTTCTCTCGCTTATCAGTCGTCAACTTTCAACACCAAAAACATCGACCGACATGAATGAATTTACATTGAAAGGTCGGAGCCGCGCTCAAGGACATCAGATGAAACTGGTTGACTTGGCATATAAAGCGCTGTGCGTGACCATGCGCTCTGATCCTTCAGTGACACTGCACCTGATCCGACCGAACCAATCATGATTCAGAAGCCGAAATGATCATCAGCACGAACGCTGTCGGTATCAATCTAGGATATGACATTCGAGGGAATCATAGTCCAGTTGTTCTCAGCGCCTTGAATGAGCTGCTTGCACTTTCCCAGGACGTCAACGAGTCCGGGAGGATCATCAGTCTGAGGAATGTCAACAAAGAATCACCCACACATGGGCGAGACATACTTACCATTAATATTACGAGGTAGGACCACTTTAGACGCTCGTGGCAACCGCAGTAAGGACAGTTGATGTACCACATGACACCTCGAGGGCAAGGGCACGCTGGAACACGAATGCAGGCCGACGGTGGGAGAGCCAGATAGATAGTTGTGAGGACACGAAGTACCATTTTACATAAGGGACTGCAGATCTCCCACATCAGAATCCACACCCGACCGAACATCATAAAACTATGTAGATCAACCGAGGTTCGAAGGGATCTGCACCAAGATGTACACAAAATATGCATCGAGCATCTTTGCATTACACACATACCTCATATATAAAATACCTTGAGCACCAGTCTCGTAAACACAAGAAAATACCACTCAGCCCAGCTGAGAAACCCTAATGATACAGCTCTTCCACTTGAACAACCCCAAGCTATAGACAGAGTGCTGCAGGCTTTGGAAATGCGATTAGACTATCAATGTCCACTTGCACGCTAATGCCGCTTGAATGATTCCAAGGGCCACGAATGCGGTGCTCCGTCGGTGACGATGATATTGGAGTGGACGATGACGATCTGTAGGTATTTGCGATCTCTATATCCAGTGGTGGCAGGTCTGACAGTGTGGGCCGCATTGAATCTGAGCGGTGTATGCGAGATTGAGGAATAGGTCCATGGGGAAGGGGTTGGAAAGCGGGGCAAGGAAGGGAAGGGAGTGTGTGTTTTGGAGCAGCGCGTGGTGGGAGAGGTCCCTGCACGAGACGGAGAGCAGAAGGAGGTGCGCGACGAGGGCCTCGGGGCATGGTTACAAGTGAAATAAACTTTTACAGTCGATCTATAGTCAATTTGATGATTTCAGTCGTCAAGGATCAAGCAAGAAAAAGACTAATAAGCACTAACCAAGTGAACGTCTTTTATATACTGATAACAACAAGACACAAACCACAAACACAAGGAGAGGACAAAAGAGTGACACGTAATTTCGACAAGACCAGCAAGATCGAAATATCCACAGAAGAAATTGAATGTGGTTCAAATCGGGTTCAGAGTTGGACAATGGCTGTGTCACACAGAGCTGGCATTGGCAATTAAGCTTCACACTGACTACTGAAATATGAAAGCTTATCCCCATTGGATCATAATAGCAAAGGATGGGATATACTATCGACAAGGGCAACACATCACCGTATCTACAGATGTGCGAGTCCGAAAACACTACGATCGACATATGTAATAACAAAAGAGCCAGCAACCCTGACACATCAAAGCGACACAACAGCGTCATGTACAGGTCTCAATTGGGCGGTAATGCTTCAGCAGTTGAGCTTTGAAGGCTATAAGAGGAATAATGAGAAAATGCATGCTCGTACATCAAAATTTACTGACCGTCAGGCTGATTCCATAGCCCTGCAGCGTCACCATTAAGCGGAGAAGCATTGTTGGGTTCTATAAATGGTAAGTGAAAAAAAACATACACTGCCAGTCTCACGACTAACCCCCTAGCAATGATTGCAACGATAATAATACAGTTTGCACACTATACACGGCAGACCACTTGTCCTGGAAAGGTTCTAAATACTAAGCATCATTAGCAGGAAAATGCGGCAAACCTGCAAGATATCAAGACAGATCGCGCCTCCTGCAATGTCAACGTTGGGGTGATAACAGGGCGTGTCAAACTTGATCGTAGGTGGTGAGTATGGGTAGTTGCTGGGAAATGAGATAGAGATTCGGAACGATAGTCCGGCATAAATCTAGCACGATATTCAGTATCAAATGTCAATGGTTGCATGCGCGCGCCACGTACAGTCCCCGCCGCGCCTTCTATCGTTCCCACCCATTCAAACAGATTTGCATCACTTTTGGGAAAGGCAGACTAAGCGATACATGAGACGGAAGCACGAGGAGCACTCGATGATCACTCACGATACCAGGAGATGATGACATCTAGCAAGTGTTGAGAATTCAATGAAAGGTATAACCAGACCAAATCACTCACCATCAAAGTCATGAGTTCGTTGGTCAAGCTGCAGAGTGATAGTGAGTATTGATGTTAACATGACATGTGGCAGCATACTCACCGTTTTGTCACACTACCAGGACCATCAGGTGCTGAGCCAGAGACAGCAGTTTTATGAGAGGTTCTGGAGGGAGCGAGTGCGGAAGTGATCTGATCCATAAGGTCTAAGCTTGCAGATCCAATGGCGGTCAAGAGAGATGTGCTAATGCAAGATAAGAACCACAACTTGTCAGTTCAAGTAGGTTCGAGTACAGTGGACGCGCTCAGTCACGTGCTGTCATTATCGAAATTTACACAGGTCCAACGGAAACAATAACAAACAAACAAAGAACCTATTCTGAGTTCAAATTAAAATGGGAAGATCCGTCGGCAAGAACGGCTGTGGCCCAAAAGCGTCTCCTGCTCACCGTAAGCAATTGCGTAGTTCTGTAACTTATACTTCCAACGTCGTCAACTGCCCACACGATGTCGAGCAATTTTGCGCCGACGCCCGCAGAGCTTGCACTCGTGAATCAGATATTTACTCAGGCAGATACCCAGAAAATCGGAATCCTCACTGGTGACGTCGCCGTAAAGGTCTTCCAGGGTGCAAAACTAGCACCAACCGTCTTGGGCGAGATTTGGAGTATTGCTGACGATGACAACAATGGATTTTTGACCAAGAAGGGTGTCTCAATTGCAGTTCGTCTCATGGGTCATGCTCAGAAAGGCCAGAAGGTCGATAAGTCTCTCGTGAACAAGCGTGAGTTTCACTACTCTTTCACCATGACACATTACTGACATTGGGCCCTTAGCCGGACCATTAGCCAATATTGAAGGCGTGCAGATGCCTTTGATTCCACAAGGCACCGGTGCATCAACATCCAAATCACCACCTCCCAGTTTGCCTCCATTGACTCCTCAAGACAGGGCCAAATTTACACGGATATTTCAGGGGTGTGGGCCTGTCAATGGCCTCCTCAATGGTATGTCAGCTCATTTGCACGTAGCAGGGGTTAATTGTTCCTCCTTTGAAGGTGACAAAGCACGTGATGTATTCTTCAAATCCAAACTCCCTCTGGATAAACTATCTCAAATATGGTGCGTAATGTACTTCTGAATGTGGCCAGTCTCATACTGCCACAGGACGTTATGCGACACACAAGACCGAGGCGTACTCGACATAACTGACTTTACCATAGCCATGTACCTAATTCAAGCCTGCATGGCTGGTCAACTCTTGTCTATTCCGAGTTCCATTCCGTCAAGCTTATTCGAGCAGGCTGGGGCGGTTTCTGTTCACGCGACCGGTGGTAGTGCACATTTCAGCAGCCCAGGTTTTCCACCAGTACCGAGGCATAATGCTGTGCAGCCGCAGCTGACGGGGCAGGCGTCTCCGGCTCCTCCCCTTCCGAACAGACGCCTAGCGTCCAACAGGCTTGCACCTACTATACCCCCCTTCCCTGGTGTTGCCCAGTGGGATGTTACCGCGGCTGAGAAGGCCAGTGCAGACCGCTTCTTTGATACATTGGACTCGCAGCACAGAGGATACATTGAAGGTGATGTTGCAGTACCATTCATGCTCCAATCCAAGTTACCGGAAGACGTCTTGGCCCAAGTCTGGTCCGTAATCATCAAATGTCTATCTTCGGGCATTGTTGTTTCTCACTTTGGGTTTGCAGGGATCTTGCAGATATCAACAATGACGGCCGTCTGACTCGTGACGGATTCGCAGTCGCGATGCACCTCATTCAGGGCAGCCTCTCAGGCAAGGATGTCCCTAGTACGTTACCTCCGACCCTTGTACCTCCATCAATGCGAGGAGGACAAGTGCCGTTTGTTTCTGCATTGGCACCTTCCAATCCGGAACCCGTGCGGGATCTCCTTTGGGACGATTCACCTCCGCCGTCGGCGACCACCTCGCATCCTCCGACAAGCATCTTGCAACCTCAAACCACGGGTACCCCGCACTCTCCGCGGTCTTTTCCTCGTCTCACACCGCTCTCACAGGATCCCTTTGGCTCCTCTCCAGCTACATCTCGTGCGTCGCTCAGCGCCATCTTCTGAGAAGATACTGATACTCTGAACAACAGCGTCGAACAGAAATTTCCTTGATGATGACGATACACATGCGCCGCCCATTTTGCATGACCAATCTGTGGAAATTGGGAACGTGCAGAATCAATTCAATTCCACGCAGAGATCTCTGCAGACCGCAAAGGCTGAACGAGAGGCTCTCGAGAGTACGCTTGCCAATCAGGCTGCGCAGCTTTCAGCTCTTCAGACTCAGCTTGCTGCTGCCAAAGCATCTTACGAAACAGAGACTTCCCTCCTGAACACACTCCGTGATCGTCACGCATCTCAGAATACTGACATTCAGAGAACTAGGGAAGAACTCATTAGGGATGAGAGCGATCTCAGCGCCGTCCGAGTAGAGAAAGCAGAAATCGAAGGGTCTTTCTTGCGCGACAAGGAGGAGGTTCGAGAATTGAACAGGCGGATGGCAGAGGTTACGGCGCAAATTGCTGTTGTGAAGCAGGACGTCGAGAAGGCGAAGAAAGACGCGAAACATCAGAAGGGTCTTCTTGCTATTGCCAAAAAGCAATTGGTAGCAAAGGAGTCGGAGAAGATCAGGGTGGACAAGGAGCTAGAGGAGGCACAGCAAGATCTCACTGATACGATTACGGAGAGAGAGAAGGCCGAAGCCGAGGCCGAGAAGATTGTGATTACGCCTTTACAGGCAGGGTTGGAACGCTCTAAGTCACCGGATTCGGTTGCTTTCGCGGCTGCTCATCCTTTGCCAGTGACCCCTGATATCACGGGCGCCGCCATGAGCCCGATCAGTGTCAAGAGTAATAACCCATTCGAGAGGTTGGCATTGTCCTCAGGAGCGTCGACTCCGCGATCTCAGTCGCCGTTCCTGTCTTTCCCTAATGCTTCTTATCCTGCTCCCCCTGGCCTGTCATCACCACCCGGTCTTTATTCCCCGGCTACAATCCAATCAGACGTGTTTTCGCAGGCATCCGACACTGAACCCGTGCTACAGACCGATAATGCGCCTGATACAGATAGCTCTGAATTTGTCGTTGTGACCCCTCGCGTGAAGGACGGTCCCTATTTTTCTGACGGTGTCGTATCGTCGCCCACGAGCGATGAACACTTCACCACCCCTCCAACCAGTATCACACCAGTCAATCCTAATCCCAGTGCAAACGATTCATCTCTCGATAGTGCTGCCGCACACTTCCCTGCTATCGATGATTTCAATACACAACACCTCGCACCGGAGGAGGGGGAGAAGGAAACAGACCTGTCTACGGACCTTCAGGAGTTGGAAGTCAATGACACTGAGAGTGAAAGCGAGGACAGCCACGAGTCGGAAGCTGTCGACCACTTGACAGACTCTGCCAAGGAGGTTTCTCCCTCAGAACCGGTATCCTCACAGGCGCCGACCTCTTTTGATGACATCTTTGGAGTCGACACAGATATTCCCGAGCGGGTCCCTGCTTCCAGCAGTGAATCTCAGTCAGACACAGCCGCACCCTCGCAGAATGGCACGTCTTTGGTAGATGCCTTTGGTGCTCCTTTCTCAGAGCTTGAAACCACTCCGTCACAGCTCTTTCGACCATCCGAGACAAGCGGGTTGAATAGTTTTGACGAGGCTCTCGGCAAGATCTCAAATGGCGGTTCTACGCAGCCCGCCTCTGCCTTCTCCTTCGATTCCAACTTTGAGGATAACTTTGACTTTGGGACAGCGATGGCATCATCATCTTCTACATTCCCACCACCCCCCTCCGGATCTACCCCTACAAATGGCATCTCCGCAACGAGCTCGAACATGGCTATGCATGCGAATGAGGTACCTGATTTGTTCACCCAGCCTGCGAGCAATGGGATATCGGCCACTCCAAACGTGTCTATGACACAGCCGGCAGCCCCGGTCTCATTTGATGAAGTCTTCTCATCGGGCCCCTGGGATGCTTCAAGTACCGCACCTCAGCCTGAGAAGGCAGGATCAAAACAGGCGGACGCGGGAGTCATAAGCTTTCAAGATGCATTTGGAGGTGTTGATTCCTCTCAAGCCCTGGCACTAGATAGTTTGTTCCCTTCGAAGACTTCAAAGGCATTCGCATCCTCTGCGTCACCACCTTCATCCGAGGGTAGCAAGCCCTTCCCAAATATTTCCCCTCCTGTATCACCGCGAGGACCATCTTCTCCCCGGGTTACATCGATACGGTCTACTTCCCCTCCGCGACGTGCCACATCGCCACCGCCTCGAGCTGTTTCTCCGAAGTTGCAGCGGCCGTCAAGCTCTTCAACCAAGGAACCCGCTCACGATAAGCCTCCGCCACCCCCGCGGCACTCTAAGCTCAGTGTATGTACTATATTTACTTTCCATGGTACATTACTAATACTAATAATTGGTGCATAGATTCGCCTTCCGTTTGGTAAGAAAAAGAAGCAGGATTCAGTACCACCCATTCCTCCATCGAGTCTGTCACAGAATGTGACTGTTACGCAGGAGGCGAGGGTGACGCCTGGGGTTGAAGACGACGTGGAACCTGTGAAGCAGCTGTCTGCTATGGGATTCAGTCGAACACAAGCTGTTGAGGCGCTCGAAGCATACGATTATGACGTACAAAGAGCATTGAATAAATTACTGGGAGCGCAATAGGGACGGAGGGTCTATTATCGTTTGATCTTGCGTTTGTAATATTTCACTTGTCCGTACATGCACATTCCTTACTACTCATTCCATTTTATTACCGAAACATCCGAGTCATAAGGGCACGAACGGAACAATGACATTCCTTTATGACTGTGTTTGACGGGTCGACCTTGTCATTGTCATAGGCCTCGACTCGGAGATGACCCTGACTTGTATTCCCACTCGGATTCAAATGACTGTGTGCAATTGTTATTTGATTGGGACAAGGCCTGGTACTGCGGAGGTCATTGACAGGGGCAATTCGAGTCTTAAGGTTGACAATGTTGAAACTAGCCGAACCTTGGTGCCTTAAATACACGCACTAGTGCTTCCGTGACCGGGGAAACTGAAGGGAAACTATGCAAGTTTCAAAGTTGACTGTCAAAATTTTTAGCGGGCCTATATAATCATCTTGTGCTTTAACCGCTCTGCAGGAACAACTTATCGAACCTACCATGGCCGCTTTCGATATGGTTGTGGTGGGCTCCGGTGGCGGTCCCGATGAATCCAACCTATCAGCGTGGGTTCCTTCTTTCCGCTGCTTTCCATCTTCACTCAGACACATGCTACAGGTATCTGCTCAAACCTCGCGAGGCTGCTTGGAATGATGGTATCATCGCACTAGAGGCGGGTGCGCAATCTCATCATCCTGTCTCGCGACCACAACTGACACTGTGACTCAGGGTCCGGTCTTGGCGCGCTTAGACATATCATGAAACGCGACCCAAACATCTTCAGAGAACATCCAACGGACGCGAATCCAACATCCTTCACTCCTCTCACGGTCTATGCAAATGTCAAGTCAGTAACATCCTCCCGTACTACTGCCTCGCGGCCCGTAACTTAACTCCGTTCTGCAGGTGCTTTCTCCTTACACACGCGCACCTCGACCATATAAGCAGTCTTGTAATGACCGCGGGCTCACTTGGCGGTGCCAGAAAGCGTATTTATGGCTCAGCTCAAACTCTCAGCGATCTAGAAACTATCTTCTCCGGAAGAATATGGCCCAAATTAGCCACATATGATCAGAATAACCCGTTATTCCAATTGGTGTATCACGCGTGAGTCTCATCCCACGAGTCAATCTAGTCATCGACCTCAAATCTACCATCCCCGCTTGGTAGCCTCCATGCAGATGACAAATACGAGGTCATCTTCCCAAATATCTCCGTTCGCCTCATGACCGTCAGCCACGGAATGAATGGCTCTGGTCAGTATGACGGTGCTTGCTTTTTCATCCGACATGACCCTACAAACCGCGAGTTCATCTTTTTCGGTGATGTGGAGCCTGACAGCATCTCTGTCGAGCCAAAGAACATCGCCGTCTGGCGTGCAGCAGCACCAAAGATACCGCATGTCATATCTACCATCTTCATCGAGTGCTCATACCAAGCAGGGCGGCCGGACGGGCAACTTTGGGGTCATCTCAGTCCCGTGCATTTGGTACAGGAGCTGGTCACGCTAGCAACAGAAGTTGTCATCGCCCGAAAAGAACGTAAATCTTGCTCAGGATCGAGGCCGCGAAAGAAGCAACGAATGTCACCTGAAGCCCTTCACGGCGCACTTGAAGGTGTCAAAGTTTACATCATGCACTGCAAAGAGCAATTCGCTACAGAACGGCCGATCAACCACATTATCGGTGACCAATGTCGTGAGCTGCTTGCACCCCACCAATTAGGGGTCGAACTACTCACTGCGGACCAAGGCATGAAGATTGGTGGGTCCAATCGTCCTATCGGCTTTGCGATATACTTAGTACTAACTTATGCCTCCTCAAGTGATCTGAACCTTATCCTCAACGAACTTTTCTTATTTGTTCAATTATTCGTTGAGTTATTTATACTTGGAGAAATCCACCGATACCAGTCCTCACCGTGTGTATACTTAACCACTGTAGCCCTAATTTCCATTTCCCAGTCGTCCTTTTTACCACCAGTCTGTTTTATTACCACTCTAACTTAATTCATATTCGTCGACGCACTATGTACGTTTGAGCCTCTTTCCCATATACCACTCTACGTACCGTCTTTAGACTCGCTCACGTACTTGCACGATCACACGAATTATACCGACGATAACACAGAAATCACCTGCAAACAGCAAAGAAGGAATATACAGGAAACAATGTCAAGAAGAAAAAGAGCCAATGCGTATTGAACACGAAGACCGTCCGCATACGTATGAAGATATCTATAATGCGTAACATCATAAGGTCAATCATGTTCGGTCATTTCGTGAGCAGGCTATGACGATGCATAGAGCTTGACAACGCCGTCTGCGCCTGCGCTTGCCATGAAGGGTAATGTAGGGTGGAATTCAACCTCGAGAACACCCTCTTTAGCCTTTTCGCGATGTGTCGTGATCTCCTGGGTGCAGGTCCGCGAACCAAGAAGGTCCCAGAAGCGGATAGAACAGTCATGCGAACCAGACACGAGCGAGAACCCAGCTGCATCGATCGACAACGATGTTACTGCGTCAAGATGAGCAGGCATGGTGTGCGTGCAATGTCCTTCATACGCGGTCAGTGAATGTAAGGAACCCCGGCTGGTAAACAGAACGTACCTGACAATATGTCGAATATGCGGATGAACTTGTCCTCATGGGCAGTGACGAGGAACGATATCGTGGGATGGGAGACAATACGGTTCACCTGAGTTGCAGGCGTGCCATCTTAATGAAAACCATGATCAGCGATCGTCAATAGAAGCAACGAGAATCGAGATACGCACCATATGTGGCATCAGTCGCTAATCTCGACACCTCTCTTCCAGTCTCGATATCGAACACTTTTACCACCGCGTTCTGGAATGCTACTGCTACCTTTTTCAAGTCAGACTTGATCGCCTCGACCGCAGTTGCTCCTGGCTCTTTTTCCTTTTCTTCCTCCTCGCTCCCTTCGTGGTCCAAGCCGTAGTAACCCCACGACAATTTCAAAATTACACGACCTTCTGCAGCTCCGCTTACATCCCACACCTTTATGGAGCCCTCGGCACCACAGCTCACCAACGCATTCTCATCCCGTACAAGGGCAAGGTCCCAGACAGCATCAGTGTGCCCTACCAGTTCTCCACGCGCAGAGCTGTCATCGTATGGCGCGTATGTCGTGTGCGATGATGAGGGCAGCGCCCAGACACGGATGCTTGAGTCGATCGATGCGCTGTAGATGAGGTGCTTGGTAGGGGAATGCACGAGACGTGTTATTGAGGCGGAGTGGCCACGCAGGGTAAGTTGAGGCTCGAAATCAGTCGTGAGGCGAGCACTAGAGGAGAGTTAGTCTCATCATGCCTGCTAGAGAAACGAGAGCACCAACGCAGAAGATGCTAAATTCGCGACATCCATGCGCCAGATTTTTACTGTGCAGTCATCTCCACCGGTTGCAAGACATAGTTCTGTGGGGTGGAACGCGAGTGCACGCACTGCATCTAAATGACTGAGAGCCAGAATCAGCACCCAAAACTTGAACTCCGAGTGGAAAAGGCACTCACTTTCTCAATGTTCGCTTAGCCTTCCATATCTTTGCTCCATCGCCTTCGCCCTCCTCAACCCCAACACCTACGCTCTCTACCTCATCTTCGTCCTCTCCAACTTCTTCACCCTCGCCCTCGCCTTCCTCGTCATCGCGCCACCGCTGCATCTTCATATGCTGTTCGTACGATGACCGCAGCTTCTCTCGCCACTCGCCCTGATCGTCAGGACGGAAGATCGCCGTTAAATGGCGCGATGGCTCCGCCTCGGTGGCTGGCGCTCCCTCTTTCTCTGAAGGCGGTTGTGGTGCTGCCTGCGGGGGTGCCTGCTGTGATGGAGGCTGCTGAGGCTGGGGTAGTTGAGGTGGTTGTGACCTTTCTTGGCTCTGCACCTGCTGCTGCTGCTGTTGTTGTTGCGGCTGCGGTTGCTGCTGCTGGAACATGCCTGTACCAACATTATTCAGAGGGCTCCCTCGCTCCAATGGTCCTGTCGATGCTGGGCCTGACATCAAATTCACACCACCACTTAACATGGGGAAGTCCTTATTCCCTGGTCCAGTAACAACTGTGACCCCTGGCCCGGATTCTGGCAATGCCTTACGAGGCCGGCCATTGTAGATCGCCTCGAAGGGTTGGCTAGGTGCGGTGGGGTTCACTAATCCTGATGAGATGAGCGGACGGTTCGGGAGTGGGTTCATTGCTTGCGGAGAGGTGAGGTATGAGATTTCCTGGAGACATCTAAAGGAGATTATGAGCATGGAAAGTCATCTCAAAAGACAGTAAGAAAACGTACTGCTTAAGGTAGTCTCTGCTCCGTGCGCGGCTCTTTGGGTCGCGTCCTGGTGGCAGCTTACCCACGGAACCAACGGATGGCAGGCCTCCGCTCCAGTTCGCGCTTGCACCAGGCCACGAGGGTTGTCGTGCTGGGGGTGCAGAGGTCCCATTCGGAATGCGTTCGGAGGGCAGAGGGGAATCTGTGGTGGGTGTATCAATGTCAAATACAGTACTAAAATAAACAGCACCCTAAGAACTGGGCAACACGCACCGTCACTACGTGGCGAGCTGCCACTGCTCCCATCCTTATGGCTCTGAACATCATCTTTCGCGCCTTGCAGCTGGAGCATGGCTGATTTTGACGGTTGAGCGGTACCAGTTGGCGCAGTTAACTGCTTTGAGCTATATGAAGAACACATGGCATGAGAACATCCGCGAATTCAACAAAAAGAGGGAGGCGGAACGCGTGAGTAGGCTGGCGTGTGCACAAGGAGAACACGAACCGTTCCATACGGAGAGCATACTCTAGCATTTTTATGCGACGCATCAGGTCGAGTTTGACGTTTTCGAACGAGCGTCGCTCGCCCTCGAGGAGAGCTATGCGAGCCTATTGTGAAACATAAATACGCGACGTCCCAAACACAAGAAATTGAGCAACGAATGCAGATATGCAGACTAAATGCATTTTGATGATGCGAAAAGCCGAAAGTAAAAAAGTGACTCTCGGCGGGACGCATATGCACATAGGAATGAGGAGGACACTCACCCTCATTTCAGCTCTCTCAATCTCCCATTCGTTTCTATCACGCTCATAACGACGCCATTCTGTCTGCAAAAAGTGCAAGACACTGGAAAGGTTAAAGTCTTGACCATTCTGGGGGGGTGGGGGTGGGATACCCTGGGACTGCCCTGGCTGGCCCTGGGGTTGTTGCTGACCAAGTTGACCCTGCTGCTGCTGGCCTCCTTGATTTTGCTGGGGCTGAGACACCTGCAAGGTGCCGAGCATAGGGATTTGGATTGTCTGTGGATGGTGAATGTTGGGCGTTGAAGAGATTGACTGTGTACTCTGGTTGTTTTGATGATATAATGCAGTTAGAGCGTCGCGCTGCTGTGAGCTGTTACTGCTATTATTTTGCGATAGAAGACCGTTAGGAGGAGGAGATTTTGAAGTGGCAAGGTTACTGATCCGTGAGCTTGTGAGCATATCGGCGGTGGGTTCCTACAATTCTGCTTTCCAGTGTTTGCAATCAACAAACAACCGCCTCAGTGTGAAGGCGGAAATGACAAGTTCAACGTCAACGACGACGACGACTACAACGGTAACAGCAACGGCCACGACAATGGAAGTACGGAGAAAGGCGAGCCCACGAAGCTTTTCACTCATTCACAAAGCGCTTTAGCACTATTAATGCCGCTATAGTATATATTCATGCATAAACTTATTCAAACATCCGACCTTCGGGTTCTGGCCAATTCTATCTTTGTGAGAACAGCATTTTGATGGCCTGTGTACGTTGACGCTACTCTTCAGCATCGAGCGCTTTACGCAGCCCCGTGTATGGCACATAAAAACTCGAATTTCTGATAGCCCTCCAACAAAACTCGATGGCCTACGTCGGAGCGGAAGTCAACGGGATGAGGGAACTGAGCGCTTAGCACCCGACAATGATACGTCACTTTTACTCATCCGATCTCATGCAGCCCGCAGGGAAGGCCGAGCGATAACATCTGATGCTGAACAGACTTCTGCTTCCCTTCTTGCCTGGTTCTTGGTGCGCGCAAGAACTATGTGTTAAGATACTGATGGTCGACCTTACAAGTCATGTACTGATTCAGCACTGGACCGCAAGCTAAAACTGAATGGAAAGATCGTTGATGACCATGGATCATACAAGAGATGGATTGTAAACAGCCGGTCAGTTGCAGAGTAGACATCATCCTTCTATTTCTTTCCCGATCTAAAGAATAAGATCAATGAAATAAACCAAGATGAAGATTTTAATCTACTCACTTCTTGATTCCGCCACCAGGAGGACCACCTGTCAAAATCATGAGTTTATTCTGACTTGAGGTGCTTTGAATACTCACCCTTGACAGCTACACATCGATGGACCCCTCCGTTTAGATGCATTTCTTGTAGTTTGGCGAGTAAAAACGTACCTTTGTCCCTTGCAGCCTTCACAGCAGCCTCTTCGGCCTTCTTTTTCTCCTTGAAGGCCTTGTCATCTTCATCCTCATCTTTGTGTTCCTTCTTTGGTGCCTAGCGATTTCAAAGGAGGCTTTAGCACGGCTTTGAGGCAGTTAAAAAACCAACCTTTAGAGGCTTCAGCTTGCCACCTTGTCTCGACATCGTTGAACCAGACACAGACAGTCTGTTTCTATGTCAGATAAGGGCGATTGTGAACTCCACCCAAACTTGTCCGTGGCCGGTCTCGGCGGTCCCCCGCCGGTCGCAGCTCCAAAGAGTACTAAGCACTTCTGAACTGTTTTGTATGAATGGATGGTTGCGTTGTATCACTGATTACCACAAGGAGAACATTCAAATTGAACAAAAAGATATCTATACACAATAAGTTATTAGAATTTGGTGAATCGCCAACCCAGCTGGCATCAGTTCCAGGTCCCAGGTACCCGTCCTAGGTCCAGGTCTTACATAAGGACTAATCTTAGATACAACACCTTCCATTTGGGTATACAATGGTTTTGTTGTAGCCAGCAACGTCGAACAATAGCCTGAGGATGTGGTATGGTGTGGACCGTGTGGTACAGCGTTTATATGACCTTGCAGCGTCAGCTTCACTTTTGCATCTTCAACTTGAACTCCCTCGACTGCGTCGAGCTTTTTGTCGCGAGCGACGTTCCAATCATTTCTGTTTTTCGTTAATCGAGCAGGGTACTCGACAGTGTTTAATATCATTCATTCATTTCACACAGCGCTTCGAGTTTATCTAAACATGTTATTTGTTCATGTCCTTTCGGCCATAACACTGGTAGGCTCAGTTGCGGCCATCCCTTTCCGTGTCCTACCGCCTCAACGTAAGCGGGACGTCAACCCTGCGCTAGTCCCGTCCTTCGGTTGGCAATCCGGTGTTAATCCAGATGGTGAGTACAGAATAACAGTACCCTTCGACATCGTGCACTAACATGTTCTAAAGGCACTGGAAACTGTGACGGTGCCGTGGACGGCACTAATGGGAAACCTATCCTAATACCTTGCTCATGCCCGCCAAATTCAACGTTCTTCCTTACTGTGAGCCTTCCGGTCAAACATCGTGTTGTCGATTGCTAAACACAGGTTTATATGGTAGAATCTGAATAAAAACGTGGCGGCGGGCTTTGTGACAACAAACCCAACTGTGAAGGTCTCTTTCCCAACAGATGACAGTACCGCATCTCAGCTTGCTCGTTTAAATGCAGCAGCGGTCACTCTGCAAAACCTTGAAGGTCCCGGTGTTGGCTGCCCGATTTCTTCCACCACTTTTTCTGCACAAGGAAAAGCGATCAGTGCAGGGACATCTACCAACGGAAATTCAAGTGCTGCAACGCCTACAGCTGCGTCAGAAACACCTGCGGGTTTCGGCGTCTCACCGAGCACTTCTGCCATGAGCGCTGCCGTCCCAACGAGCATCACTTCAAACGACAGTTCTGCTTCACCCACTGATGAGCAGATTGCCACACTGGCACCGCCCCTTGGATGGCAAGCTGGAATCAACCCAGACGGTAAGCAGTTCTTCTTGAAAGCCTGTTGATGGATAAGAAGCTCACATAAATATTATCAGGCACTGGTAACTGTGATGGTGCTGTCGATGGTACAAACGGGAAGCCAATACTCATCCCATGTCAATGTCCCCCTGATCAGACGAACTACATCGCGGTAAGCTATTCATTTCATGCTCAATTGCTCTTAGGGAACTAACATTCTTCTAGAACCTGACTGCTAATGTCCGCGCGGGCCATGTTATCCTCAATCCCACGGTGCAACTCACGTTCCCAACCGACAACAGCACAGCCTCGCAAAGTGCGCGTCTGAATGCTGCTGCTGTTACGTTACAGAACTTGAATGGTGCTGGGAAGGGCTGTCCGATCGTGTCGACCACGTTCAGTGCACAACAGAAGGCAATTAATGCCGAAAACACGTCTTGAATGATTATTGTAGAGAGATTAACCTCTTGGGCATCCATGTTGTAGCAAGTAGCCAGTTTTCGTTATCGTTGTACAATCATATTGCTTGGGCGTTTGGCCAGACAAAAACTTGTTAAGCTGCAACCGTAGCTTCCGAACTCCGTTCCGAGCCCAATGATCAATCGATCACTCTCCAGGCTGCCTCAGGTTTATAAAGTCCACCCCTCAACGTTGCAACGTTCAACAATAGTCGGTCACTTAGCGGAATTGAGCCAAGTTGAAGTTCCTGGACCGTCATGGACGTCACGACCTTCAGGGCCATTGACAGAGAATGGCGTGTCGTAATGTCTCGAGAATGGGATGTGCGTTCTTGCCTCACCTCTATTCAGTGGGACACAGTACAACGTGCAGGTTGTTGACGCGTTGCTGCGATTCAGGTTCTCGGGCCTTTCCCCATCCACGCTAGGGAGCAGCACTTCCTTTCTCCTGCGTTTCCCCTTGACTGTGGGCAATCATATTGATTGTATACTATAAGCTTGAGCTAATCATGATCTGCTATGGATTTCGAAGTATCTAAGAGTATAGATTTGACCCGTACCTATCCATCTGCTTATGCTGATGGCGGATATGTCTCTTGGTCAAAAGCCAACTCGGATGAACACGGAAATCTCAAGGTATCCCATCCCAATATTCGGTGGGAGCAGCTTCGTGCGACCGAAGGATGGGCAGCACTGCAGCATCACAACGTCCTCCGGACGTATCTCACCGTCTATCCTCCAGATTCTAAACAAGAGAGTACTGAAATCGATCCACGTCTGCGTGTCGAGTGCCTCCAGGGCGCATATTTTTCCATCTTACCAGGTGATGAGACAACTTGGGCAACACATGTCTTGGAATGGCACATGGGGAACGTTTACGCTCTCGAGCGTGCCCCTGTACAGTTTGTCTCGCTCCCAACGTCTCCATGTAGAGATAAAGCGACTCGATATCAAGTAGTTCTTGGTGGATCTTACGAGGTGATCCGACTTCTTGAACCTTGGAACATCATCTGAGTCCTCCACTATCAATAGATAAGACTCTTTGGTGATCCTCGGTCATACAACTCAGAGTATCCAATTCTGAGCATCAATTTTACTATCTCAATTGATACCCTTCCATCACTGGGAACATCACCTCATCTGGTGACACCCGTCTCACATGCACCTGCTCACGATGTCATACCGGACTTCATCCATGGCCGGCCATTCTCCTCGACGCTAGGAATAGGACTTCGAAACGTAGATTTTTGCCGTAACACCAAATCAATATCAGGATGGTGGACAGTAGTGTCGGCTGCGATTCCACCTTGCGCAGGGCTGGGACTTTCATTGTGCAACCTTTCAACGACAATACGGCTTGCCCCGACTCAAACACACGTACTAACGCTGGAGTTCCAACCCGATCCGGGACTAATCCCTATCGATATCACAGAGCTTCCGGTCGACATTACAATCTCTCCCTTCCACGATGAATCGGCATGCAGTGATGTTGATGAGCAACGAATTTTCAGAGTCAATGTTCCTATCAGACACATTCCCATGTGGACTTCTGTCAGTTACACTGCCATAAGAGCGACGTACAATTTGGGCTTCAGCAATCCAACTATATTCTTGGTACTTCCCCCTCGATATCCCGATAAAGAAGGTGAAGGAGAACTGAAAGAGCCAATTCTAGCGCTGCGTATGTTGTAATCTACACCTGATGGCTCTCAGTTTTCCTGGATGCTGACTTTCTTTTCCGCTCAATATTTCTAGATGGCGCAGGTGTCGACATCATCAACCAAACATTCTGGGCAGACAGCCTCCCTCGGCAAGACAGGGCATGGGTGATCATTCCGTCTGGTCGAACTTCCTGGGTAATTTACATTCCAGTGCCTACTTTAGTATTTGATTGATGGATGGCAGGGCCTCGACTGGCATGGACCTTCTGCTGCTGATGTTCTTGCCGCGGTGACAGCCCTGCACGATATACTATGCACAGGATTCATGGACTGGAATTATCCTCGAGATACAAAGCTTGTTGTCATGGGTCATTCGAATGGAGGGCAAGGAGCATGGTACATAGCAAGTAGATGGCCGGACACGGTGAAAGCCGGTATGTTCGACAGAGTATATTTGAGGCTTTAATCAAGGTGACGGTGAAACACAGTCGTAGCTGCTGCGGGATACATCAAGTCGCAGGCATATGTCCCATGGACGATGTCGAGGTATGATGAAATTTCGTCTCGCGGCACAGCATCTGGGCTGACCAGCCTTTTGGCAGATTCGCCCACTTCATTGACCCAGCGCTCCGAGCTGTTCTAGAAACATCGCTCCTACCAGACGACAATGACCTATTCCTTTCCAATCTCGCTCACACGCCTGTGCTCGCAATCCATGGGTGCGTCTGGTAATGATTCCTTCACGATGAAACTGCTCAACTACCGACCAGTGGCATGGATGATAATGTCCCGTCGTGGCACACTCGTGAAGCAGTGAGCGTGCTCAGGGAATGGAATCCAGACGCAGACGTCACGTATGTATTTATGCTGGTTTTTGGTCCCCAATGACCGCTCATTGTATTGAAGGTACCACGAGGAGCCTGGTCAGCCTCACTGGTGGTTCGATGTGCTTAACAATGCTCGTGTTCAGGCGTTTCTTGATCGCGTTTGCTGTTCTTCGTATGATGCTCCAAAAACTAAATGTCGTAAGTTCACACTTACTGTTGCTGTCCCTGCGGAGAGCGGGCCGATGGGAGGTTGGCGGGTGCACGCCCTCGAAGTGCCTGGGAGGTCTGTAAAATTCTCCTATCATCCTGTACACAAACTTGACGCAACGACATTCACCTCAGACTCGGTCGTTTGGAAGTATGCGAAGATGACGAAGGAGGAGTGAATGTCAAGGCCTCAAACATCAGTGTTGTTTCCTTCGACCTAAGCAAGGCTTCTATCCATAAACTAGTGATCAACAGTCAGAATATCCCGCACGCCAGTATGGAAGCTAGAACAATCTGGCTCGAGAAAGACACTAATCGCAACTCAACCGGTTGGAAGGTAATGTCTACTCGTCTACTTGTCTTGATGATCCGAACATCCTTCATGATCTATTGGAATAGGTAGTAGATTCCTATGTGGAGAACTTCCAACAACCGTATGGACGTGCTCAGGCTATTCTCAACGCAGACGGAATCATCGATATTGTGATTCCATCACTACATCACTCCTCCGAGCTGTCTGCAGCCTTGCGGATTACTCACAACCTACGAACTTACCATCTGCTTGATGCGCGAATAGTTTTTGCACATGAAGCAGAAAATGGTCTGGTATGCGGGGGTAATATGGTTGTCATTGGTTGCGCAAACTCTTTGCTTGTTAAAGATCTTCTAAGGCGCAGTCAGAGTGAATGGTCTCATGAAGGAGGAGCTTGGGCTTTGAGCGATAAAAAGTTCAACAACCCTACTTCTGGTTGGTCGGCCTGAGGTGGCAAGCCTGGGAGACACTGAAAGCCTTTACCTTACAGGTTTGCTTTTCCTTGTCAAGAGGACATCGAGTACTGCAAACACTGCGTTGTTCCTGCAATCATCTGACCCAGGCGGACTCGAGCGTGCGCTACGATTATTTCCCATCCGCACAGGTGTCTTGGTACCTGACTGGTTGGTAGTTGATGAGGCAGCAGATAGGATTGGGGCAGGTGGTGCAGAGGGAGCCGGGTAAGTTCTTTCATATATATGATTTTTTGACTGAGACGCGTTTGCAGTGTTTGGGGATCAGCTGGCAGGTCAAACAATGGAAAGTGGGGATTCAACGCTCGGATGTCATGGCTTAATTAGCATAGAATGCCCATAGGTGTACATAGTATTGTAAACGTAAGGGAATTTTAAAGGGCTGTATAAACATCAACAAGCCAGAGGTGTGTCGACAAGGTTGTGCAGGAGGTTTGCTATAATCAAAGTTCACGTTACACCTTGTTCAACACTTGAAAACGGTGAAAGGTTGTTACAATACAGTGAGTGCAGTTAGAGAACGAGGAAAAAACCCAAAGAAACAGATATGCGCGACAGATAGTAGGAACAAAGGCAAAACGAATCTATGGTTGATAGATGGACCTCGCGACCTGCAATGTCTGTTGAGTAAAGGTTTCAACTAAACAGCAGGATGTCTTACGCTCTCAAGCAGCATGGTAACTTCGGGTGCGACGCGAATGAACTCCTTGTTCCAGAACTCGTACTTCAAATTGCGGAGCAACTCAATGAAGGTGACCAAAGCACCCCAGGGGTGGGGACGATGAACAATGAAGCGTTCCAGGAGGACGCGAGTCATCACTTCACGGAAGCGATCATCTTTCACTTCCACAAAGAGGTGGAGAAGCAAAGAGCTGAACCAATGGGTATGGGCATTGGGATATCGCAGATGGAGAACCATAGAGCTCAAGAGGTGGTGTTGTCCTAAATAACGCGTCAATCTATGTCATATGAACTAGTGGATTCATTGAACTCGCCTTCAACATCTAAATTAGCAGCAAGATACTGTAAAGCAACAACGCCAGGGTCGCTTGCGACAAATACAGAAGAGCCACTCCTCGCCTTGGCCTGAGCAACTGACGATACTCCAATGTACATGACAAGGGAGTTTATCAATGACAGGTTATACGATTCGGTTGAACTCTCTGGCACGCCGGGCAGCCTCAAGCGATCTTTGAGTGTTGTAAGGAATGAAGGGGTTCCACGATTAAGGAGGTATTGATCGAGGTTGTTGCGGAGGTCAGCGCTTTTAAGACCTGAAGCAAAGTCTGATAGAATGGGTGGTATCGGTCCCATTTCGGGAATCGAGTCAAATTTGATGTTGCGTAGATGGGGGTCAGGAAGGATGATAGACATAGGGAACGCGCTAAGGATGATATTGCGAAGCTGGATGCAACGCGGAGGGATGGCATCGCAGAGACTGAAGTAATATTCGCTAAGGAATTCTGGGAAATCATGAAGAAGGACGAGGAGGAGTCGGAGGGAGCCGCGATACAGATCACGAGATGCGAGTTGGAGATCAGCCTCTTTCAAGAACGGAGCCAAAAATTTGAAGAGGGAAAGAAGGAGCTTGTGGAACGCAGACCAGCCCTAACGGAATCGAGTCAAAAAAGGTCCTCTAATATTGAATGATAATCTCACCTCCCGATTTTCGGATAGCAGCAGTTTTGGCATGAAGAGTCGATGTGAAACAAGACAGAGCCAAGAGAATGCGAACCCAGGAAAGTAAGTGGGTTGCAGAGAACTGAAAGTGTCACTGCGATATTGTGAGTGATGATAAAAAATAACAACTGGAGAATGGATTACCTGATGGCGATCAGCAGAGAGAAATAAGCTGAGCCCAGATGTTCTGCGATGGAGTGTAGGTCGCTAATGAGACTGGAGAAGAATCTGAAGAACGGCTTCTGTTGAAAGAGAACGCCTTGTTCTTCGTGCATGTTCGCCAGAACAAGAACGAATATCGACAAAATCTTGGTGAGGTAGTGAACCTTCGCCTGGTCGTTGTCTATTCCAGAAGCGTCACCATGATACTTGATGATATAGACAATCAATCGCGACATCGCGTCAAGAACTTGGAAAGCGTATTCGAACTCTCCGTTTGCCATGCATTTGATGTAGCTGTTCACACTTGCCTCCGCACACACACGGAAGAAGAATGAAGAAATATCTTCGACCTTCAAAATTCCCTGCTTTGTGAGCTGGGAGATGAAGGGGACGAAAGCCTTCTCAGGAGAGTGAGACCTCTGGAAGATGGAAACCCATTGTTGGAACCAGCTAAACAACTTTTCCCTGAGCTGCTCGGTTTCTGGCTTGACCGAAGGCTGGCGGACTACCATGCCCTCCGTCGTGGGTCTGCGAACGACTCGAAGGTCATCCAGGAGACGATTCACCCTAGTAGATTGGTTAATACACGAGCCCAGTGAATTCGGTCACAACGTACTCTTCATTAGCATCGCCAGCTTGTGCCAACTGTCCAAGAACTTCAATAGAGTATGTCAACTGACTCTGAGAAGCAATCGGGGGGTCGCTTGATAGACATTCGCGAATGAGACCGGCTGCGAAGTTTTGCAAACTGGGGCGAGGATCAGTAAACAAATTCTTCGCTAGTTGTTGATCCTGAAGCGAAGTGCTGACAAGACCGCTGCGTAGCAAAGTCGCAGTAACAGGGATGTTAAGTTTGCGCTGAAGCGATGTAAGCGTTGCGTATGTAATAGAGGAACTTAGCACTAACCTCATCCTCCGCATAAAGTAGCCACGTTATAGCCTCTTTAGCGACGTCTTCAAACGTGCGGCATAACTGGTCCAACAAGGCAACATAAATCTCTCTGCCAAGCTGAGAGCTCGTCTTGTACAAGAGCTGGACAATCTTCTGAGACATGTGGAGAGGAGTGCGGTTATGATCGATGGAACTTGCTGCGACAAATAGGATCTGCCGAACAAGATGACGAAGATCATGATTAGGAGGAAGGGCGGCCAGTGATTGGATGGGCAACTGGATGATCAGGCTTTCTAGGTCCCTCAGGATCGTCTGCACGCAATGATCAGGTTTCCAACAGTGTAAAATGGAGGGCATGCTTACAGTAAAGCGTTCCATTGCTTCCTGGTGGGATATCGTATGGGATGCGATGGCTGGGTCTGGGGCAGGAGAAGCGGCATAGAGGGCTGGATTCAGATGTTCATTGCGAGCATACGACACCGTTGAACTCGGCCTACTCATTGGTGCAACACGCTTCGAGTCCAGGGCTGGATTGAAATGAAACGTCAAGATAATTCACATCAAGATATTGATAATGTATAAACATACCGAAATCCTCATAGACCGCCGCTTGATGCGGTTGCAGTCCTGTCGGCTTGATACGCAGAGGATCCGGAAGACTAGCGGAGAAGTTTGAGGGCGGAGCTGCAGGATCCCAAAATGCCTGCCCACTCCGATGCTGTTGGGAAGCAGAAGTCAGTTGCAGTCTGGTAATAAATGCCAAGTAATATACCTCGCGGTAACGACGACGAGCCTCGTATGAAGGAGCAAAACCATCATCCACATCTGTCACTGCTCGCTCCATGGCAGCCTTTTCAATTGCTGCACAGGCAACGTCTACATTATCTTGCACGAGGATGGTCAGGACTTGCTCGGATATCGTTTGCTGAAACGCTGTAAGCAATCGTCCAGTATCCCACATGTATCAACCACCTACATCATTGAATCCATGATCCACCAGAGAAGAACGCAAGTGACCTCCGAGATTGCTTTTCAAAGGTTCCTTACAGGTGACCAATGCGAGACTCCCGGCAAGCTTCTGCGCCATCAGGTGCCCAGCCTTACGCAACTTCTCCTCATTAGCCTCCGTTGCGAAGTCCTTGGCAACAAGCTCGCGAGTGGAGATGCCAGCGATCGTCACAGATCTCTCAACAACTGGGATAATGATCTGACGGACTCCTCAGATCATGAAACAGAAATGAAGATCGAGTCGCTTACCTCCCGGACAGCATGGTCGACAGCAACCTGCACTGCACGCTTGAAGGAGTGGTTACCATTGTAGGGTGCAAGTTGCGTGCTGACCACAACACTCGTGCCCAGGCTCGAGAGAATTGACTCAATATGGGCCCCTACGGCACGTTGAGGCTCAGCTGTAGGTGTAGGCCCAATTGGCATAACCTGGGTTTCACCCTGCATACGAGTAGAATCAAACCCGTTCATCGGCATCGAGTCTATATCGGTGACATATTCGGGGATGGCAGGTCCTGTATCGCCAGCAGTGGCCCTGTGGCGCACAACGTTCATAATCTCGATGGTGGCGAGGTCGATATCGAGGGCCTTGCACAGCATCTCGATCTCAAACTTCATGTTCAACTTGATTTCACCGTAGTGATAGAACTCGGCCAGTAGAGTTATGACTGCCATTAGCCAAGGGTTGGGTGGTTTGAAGACCTTGGATTTGGAGCAAGGCTCGAGGGTTTTGCAAACGAAGGGAATGGCGACAATCAGGCGTCCATGGTCAAAGCCCTCCAAAAGGAGGTCCTTGAAGGCAAGATTCTTGTGACGAATTGGCTTGTCACGAGCAAGCGTGATGGTCCCAAGCCACGACGCGATGTTCTTTAGGACCAAACGCTCGGAGGTGATCTGCATCGTCTTCTCGCTGTTCAACACCGTTGCTGCTTTAGCAAATGTCTCCTGCAAAATATATTTCGACAAAACCCGTTTGTCAAGCGCATCGAGGAAACGCAGATATAACTGGTGGTTGTTAGGCTCGCTGCTGATACGTTGGTCTACCAGATAATTGGCGAACCACCTCGAAAAGGTATCGTCAAACTGCTCTTTCATCTCCAATAGTTTGGCGTCAAAGTTACTGGGCGCGAGATTGTTCACGATAAACAGAATCTTGTCGGAGAGCTCCTCCGGTGGCTCAACGATCTCCATATCAAACTTGTCAGGGCGGATAGAAGTGAATACAGGCGCAGGGTCAGCCGTAAGACCAGCAGAGATACCGCGCATATCAGCATTACTGCGGGATCCGTCACCGCCAACAGCAATAGCACGGTGAATGACGGCCGTCAGATCGGGGCGAACCTCCATAAGATGGGGAATTCTGAGAAGAGCCTGACATAGAGGCTGCCACTCAGCAAGGCGAGTTTCAAAACGGGAGAGGGCTTGAAGACCAAACTTGAAAAGATTGGTATCGGGAGGACAATTGAGGGCGTCGACAACGTAACGGATGGCAATTCCGAGAGGAACTGAATCTACAAGATCGTGATGGATGATAGAGCCAAATAGATATCCAGTCATGGCAAGCTCGCGAGCGGGGTAGTAGGATTGGAAGAATTTGTATTCATCAAAGAGGAAGTGGAGCATGCAGGAAAAAATCTCGTGGTCACGAGTATCGGACGAGACTTTGCTGCGTTGGAGAAGGGCGATGACTTCGTCGATAGAGGTCTGTTCGTCGTACATGTGCTTATAAATAGCGTCAACCTCACCCTCAATCTCCGCTGAGTAATTGACGACAGTCAATCCAGGATCGATATCGCTACCGGGGATGAGGCTCATGAGACGAGGGTGAACCTGCAAACAGGAGTTGCGAACTTCAAGACAATAATCAATGTCGTCCCGGGGCATTTTGGCAGAACTACAAACAAACAAGTAAGAGAAACGAAAAAAGGCAAAAAAAAAGAGATGTATACTCACTTGTTACGAAGAATGCGTAGGAATATGGCGATGGTGTTGGGATTTAGGGACAGCGTACGACTGTCGACGGCGGGGTCCGACATTCTTGCCACCTTCTCGCTCTCCATTTTGACTTCCAAAAATGCAACCATAGCGCGTAGGAACTCTGCTCCATGTTGGTTAACGTTATCGGCCAACCACTTGTCGAGGTTCAGGTACTCTCGGCGCGATGCCAGCGAAGCAACATCCAGGGCAAATGTAAAGGGCCGAACATCGAGCAAGCTCTCCAGAATCTGATCCCATTTATAGTCATCATGAGCGCCTTGAGGCTCACTTTGGCTTACCTTGAGGTCCTGAGCTACGTCCAGGATCCTCGAGATATTGAGAGGATTTTCCTCATAGAAGTCGCGGAATGCATCAGTCAGATAGGTCGGTTCGATCTGCCACAGACGCATGAAGACCAGCTGGTGGTTAGGATGTCCGGCAAGGAACATGGCCAGGAGTTTCCGAGAGTATTCCACGCGGATTTCGTTCCAGTTCGCATCCTTGACGCTATTAAGAAAAAGAAGGACGTGAAGATAGAAGAATAACTTACTGGCACTTGCAGTAGACCCATTTGTACCAGTTCGGCGCTTATCTTTAGTGCTTTGTCGAGCATATCCCTAACACATGAGCGAATTTCGGCGCTGTCCGAGTCCGCGAGTCGTACGAGAACCTCGAAGACATCCAACGAATTCCAAGTGTGACTCTGTACATTAGCTGCAAGGGACTTGATTGTGGGGCTCGCAACTGCGACGTCATCCACTGTGACGATCCTCCTGCCTGGCAAAGATACAAAATTGAAAGTATCCGCAGGTAGTGAGAGCAACGCATCAAGAAGTTTTAGTTGATATAATGAGTTGGACCATGTCCCCCAGAAACCAATCACAGCATGAGGATCAGCGTCACGTGGGCAGTTGAGCAGAATGGCGATCAGAAGCTTTAAGGTAGCAGTATCCACCCCATGACGGTCAGGTAGATCGAATGCCTTAATGACATTCGCCCAATTCAAGGTAGTGTGCTAATCACGCACATCAGTAAATGCAAATCTCAATCAAAGAGACCCTTACAAAGCTGCTCAATGCCCTCACCAAAGCTCCGACATCACATAAAGTTGTACCCTCCGCGGCCAATCGAGCCAAATTGGACATAATCTCCACCAATTGAGGGTCTCGAGGAGGATTAGCTTCCGAAATCCCAAAGCGTTGGAGCAGAGCGCAAACAGTATCTGGATCACTGGTAATATCAGGACCCAACTGAATCAGTGTCTGAACCAGGGAAGTCCCAGGAGGCAAGCTGTGCAAAAGGGTTCGGGTTAATAGTTGACGAAAGTGGTAGCCACATTGTCCTGACCTTAACGTTGGGAAAATGCGCTGCAGGATAGGAGCGACAATTTCAGGCCCATACTTTGCCTGCGCAGCAGCAATGAGCGCTTGACGCTGCGTGGGATCCAGGATTGGGGTCTCGGAGGCGGACTCGGAAAGAAGATTTGACATGAGTTTCGCAACTTGCTGAGGTGAAAGATCGGCGTGGTCGAATGAGGGGTGCTGGCAAAGTGCAAGTACTGCTATTTCAAAGTCGTGTCGTATAAGGGACATTGCTTGGGCGGCAAGTTCCTTCCTCGTGGGCGAAGAGACGATAGCGGAGGTCAGGACAAGTCTCTCCAAAGGACGTAAAGCCACCCGATCAACGAATCGGAGGAGATCAAAGTGCCTGAATGCGTCCCCTTCGCCCTTGTCTATGCCCTCACGAAAACGGTCAGCGAGAAAAGGGTCACGAGCGAGTCGTTGAGTTTCTTGGACGAGGAGTCGAAAAGTCAATGCAGTGGAAGTATCAAAAGCCGATGGAGGCGCTGAAGATGCTAGTCTGCCTTGGGAATGAACAATCAAACGACGAATAAAATGGAGGTATGTGTCAAGCCCGTGCTGCTCAGAAAGCTAAAAAGGAGTTTTTGTGAAAATAGGAATAATTCAGTGATACAAGAACAGCTAATCTAGTGCTGATAATCCTCACCGAACGGATTTCAAGCTGATTGCGATCAAAATTGTCTTCTGTAAGGGTTGAAAGAAGGAAGACGATTTGAGCCTTTACAATTGTATGTATATTGGCGTTTGGAGGATTATCCATCGCCGAAGACCTGGCAGCAGTCTCCGGACGTCGCGAGACGATCCCACCAGCGGACGCCGTTTTGGTGAATAGAAGTAAGAAAGTATAGAAAGCGCGTAGGCCGAGTCTAACAGTGAACACACCAGCCCGGTGGCAACTCGTCCTCGCTGCCAACACACAAATCCGGATCCTATTTTGAAGCTCCGATTGAATATACTTGAATTTTACCCGGTGATCCCTGTTCATTATGTACGATGCGAGTCAAACGTTTAAATGAGCGTTGACAGTGCATTAACGTTTTAACCATTGGGTATCGACATCGTTTATCAATCGTATGTTGCGACAAAGGCCACGTCGTTTCAACGGGTCATGCGATCTTGTGTTACTATTTCGAATAACGCTTTCGTGGGCTGTCGGGCATTGGCATGAGCTATTGTGACGGGCCCATTGAAAATGCGCAAGCGCCAGTCGACGCCTTTCAGCAACTTTAATGTTACATACAGCTAACACGCCCGTGAATAGCAAACAACAGCACTCGAGTTCACGCTTTACTCAACCTTCACGTTTTCAGCCTACCCTCTCGCCAGCGTGCACAGGCGGTTCACTTACCTTGAAATATGCTTGCAAAGCATCAAAGACTGTAACCCCAATCTCGCTAGAGCTAAGTTTGCCATCATCGATGTTAAGATGTTAGGCGCGAATAACTTTATGATATAGTACTTCCACGGCAGCACTTGCAGCAAACGTTTGCGACAACTATACGTTCAAGCCTCCGAGTCGATGTATACAGTTCTTTCTGGCCAGAGTAGCAGCAACCACCTCTTGAACTTATTCAGCTTTCAGACAGCAGGTTCCGACCGTGATAGCCATAAATACCGAGGGACTTTGCCGCGAGCTGTCATGCATGAACGTTCAGCTCTTCAGGTCAGATGAGAGCGTGGCATGTGAGGGTTCCACAATCATTCAATGCGTATGAACTTCTCTCCGTTAGTTTCTAATTACACTGTCCATCAGTGTCAGGACTCGGGGAGCCCCTGTGAATGCCTCGTCCACCGTGATCAGCCTTACATCATGATATACTTGATACTGATTTATATCGTAGTTCTACCAGGTGGGAAGGCCTGGCGTCCTTGAAAATATTACTCATAGTTGCAGTAAAATGACCACTCAGGGACCTGATCCTGTGAAGAAATGCTGATTTTAACAAGTAGGCTGTACCACAGGCTGTCACGCCATCAGACTTCACAGCAACCCTCTGGCAGAAATATGGTACAAACCTTGTCTGAGAAGGTTCAACTTGGTTGAATCCGTCGATATTATATAATCTCGGTTTTTATTCTTCTCCCGCAGTCTCCAGTCGGATATGTGTCAAAATACCGTCAACAGCTCCGCGATCATGTAATGTGTCATTGAATGAATGTATTTAAGTTCGCCCCAACGTTGCGACTTTCTCTAGTCAACTACCATGCTGCTTCTGCTGTCCTGCTGCTCGTCAATTGCGATTTAGCTCCTACGTGGCTCACTAACTGATCTGTTTTAGCGAACTTCTCTTTGGTATGCGGTCTCCAAGATAATGATGATATTGTATAGTTCACAAGTTGGTCAATCCCTTTCGTATTGCTCTTGACTTCACATGTTGCCTTTGTTTCAAATCAATGGCAATAATACCACAGGATTGGGACGAAATGACCATTGCGTTGTGCTTTCATGCATCTCGCAAAATATTTACATCGCCGGGTGTTGATGCGTGCGTGCTCTCTGTTGAATCGGGTGTTGATGCTGCGGTTTCTGGATGTAGGGTTGTTGGCGCTGCTTGCGTTATACGAGTTGGTCAATCTGTTTCGTATTGGTTCTGACTTCAGAAATATTTACATCACTGGGTCTTGACGTGTGCGTGCTCTTTGTTGAATCGGGTGTTGATGCTGCGGTTCCCGGATGCAGGGTTGTCGGCGCTGCTTGCGTTATTGCCTGATGAAGTGCAGCCTGCAGAATTGGCACCAAGTCTTGATGGCCGCTAATGCTCGTGTTCTACACGCTGTCAAATTGGATCCCACAATACATTGCTCGCTTGGAGTTTTACTAAGCAGAAATCTCATTATCTGTGGGCATTCAAATTGACCGGGTTTTTAACTGCACTTGCTCCATATCTATCGACCGACCTCGTGCTCCCTATACTCCCAAAGGTGGTCCGCTAAGAGGAGGTTTGAACGGCGTGGGTCGATGGCACGTTTTGTGATCCGATTTCTAATAAGTACCTTCTGAGATCTAAAGTTTGCTGGCCATTGGGATGCACAGGAAGAAGTTAATGAGGCCAGCTTAGACATGTTTGGCACTGGTCAGTGGCGGTTTCTCTTTCGAAAAGCTCTCTTTCTCATGGCCTTGACCAGCATCTGATTTCTTATATAACGCTCATTCGTCTGCACCTTTCCAACAAACTTGGAATTTATCAGTATGGGTCGATCAGACGACAACATCTCCTTTGGAAAGCCGCATCTTACAATGCACGTTCCAACAGCCCAGCTTGGCAGTCTGTGAGTGAGGCATAGTTAGCTGGAGCACTAGCGACTTACGAGTCTCGTCATAGCACACTTCCAGCGGGGTATCCTCAACATCAGAACATTTCGCCTTGGCTGTCTGACCAGTTGAGGTGAATCTTCACCACTAAATGATCATTCCCTTCTTATTGGGTTTAGAAGGGACACGACATCGCGTTCTCGTGAAAACGTCCCTTCCGGGTTTCCCCTGCGTTATTATGCACAGTCACAGCCTAGGTGTGTGGTTCGGTAAATTGCGACCGCTCCATCTGATGGTGATCTTAAGGGATGTTTTTACGCATTCTGGCGCCATCGGTGGTTCAAGGTATTTGAGTCTGTCCATGGCATTTCACGCTGAGCTCATTCTTCCTCCCATTCTATTCATCTAGTGCATACCGCTCTGCAGAAGTCGGTTCAGCTGCTCATGTTCCATATGGTATTTCAAATAGAGATTCTCTTGAAGTGTCTATGCAATCACTGCAGGACACATCAATGCAGTCTTCGGCAATGGTTGTACCATCGCACACAATCAATTTCCGTGCTCAGAGCTACGAAGGCAATGTCATCCATTCCCCTCGGCTACATCACGCAACTCCGCTCTCCGACGTTGACGCAAGGTATTCAAGTTCACACACGGTATCTCACTCAGGCTCATTTTGTCCTTATCTAGCACAAGGAGCTTTGTAAATAATTGCTACATGTCGGATGCCGGTCCGCCTGCTCATGTTTCGGGTGGAATTCCGGATAGAAATTATTTGTTTGCAAATCCTGTACCATTGCGGCCGGACACAGTATCACAGCCGTTCAGTGGCACTGCATCATACGAAAGCAAGCCCATTGCTCCGAGATACGAAGGCGACATTAGACACGTCTCAGAATCGCTTAGCATGGCCTTCTATGATCCAGTTTACTGTCGCTCAGACCATTCCCGTTATGGTGTGGCACCCTCTCACCCTCCACCGCAGTCATCGTCGTCAATTCCAGCATCCAGGACAGAGATACTTCATCCTAGTGCACATCAACCGAATCTCCTCGTGCAGCACACTGACCGAGTCATGCCATTCCGTAGGCATGATACTCAGCGGTCAATTTCTCCTCAAGTTTACCACATCGATGGCTGCTTTATAGATAGAGATGACCTTCCAGACCAAGGAGCGAACAGCACCATCATAATCGTCGGCGAATGTCTTCGCAATGACTCACCGTGCGGCCTTTGGGTGAAAGCCGACAAGGGTTCGATCAAGCGCCATGCGCAGAAATGGCATGGGGTTGCTCGCGGGGGTGACACCAACATAGTCTTGTGTACATGGGCCAAGTGCAACGCCGACTCGATGCAGAAGGGTGCTGTGCCACGACATACTCTGTGCAAACACTTCCGCGAAACATTTCAGTGCAACGGGTGTTTGAAAAACTTCACTCGAGACCACTGTTGGAGATCTCATGTTGCGAAGTGTACGTCAAGTGGCACTGGTCATGGATACAGTGTGTCGTATGACCCTAGCATTCGTACCATCGATGTGAAAGGCATGTCTCTGAGACAGGTCGGTAATTGATTCTGAATGGGTGAGCATGATGTCTTCTTGATCTCGTTGATGGTGAGCTAATTCATGGATCAGAAGGGACCGATCGAGCCACAAGGTCCATTCAAACCAAGTTGTCGTGATTCTCCTTCCACCCGTTCACGCAGTATTGCTCTCAGCGCTCACTGATTCAGATATTTGCACTTCGTGTTTTTCCAGGTGCTGCTACTAATAGCTAGCCTACGTGGCCAGTACAGGCTCTTGCAGAGGCAGGCAGGCAGGCATTGCCATTGTAACAGAAGACCGATTTTTTTAATCCGCACAGCTTGTTTACGTTTGATATAAGCCCGAGGATGACAGAGGGATAGCACGGACCGCAGGGTGGCCCTGCCATTGGCACCATTAGAGCAATTGTATGTCTAGGTCTCGTACCGTAGCATATGTGTTACTATGTGCGCATTGGCTGACTTTTCCAATTTATGCATGTATTTATATCTCAACTACTGGATCTCAGGATCTTAGATGGCCTCTTAGTGTGTGCACTCTCTAGGGAGTGGTAGGTTCAAGCTTAAGAGTCACTGCATGTGAAATGCGGCATGTACCCTCTTATAGTACTGATCGACAGGATGCTCGGGTCGGAATCTGATACATTCATTCGTTCTTAAATCAATGATATAGCTACTCATCGATATCAAATACGAATACAAATATGAGAATCACCAAGCTACTGTATACATTTGACCTTAGGTTCGTCACAGCGTCGCCGAGCCCCCGAACCGAACCTATTTCGTGTGACAGTCACACCAAATTGAGGGCAGCGAACCTAAATGTGTGACATTTTGTTCATGGGTGGTGGCATAAATTATAATTTTACCGTGTTTTTCTACTTACTTTCTACCTCTTTTACATTGAATATTGAAACAGTTACCTCTTTGCATTACATTTCATTGCATGTGTATGTATTATGTAGAAAAAACATGTAAATACGAACCTATTAATACTTCTGTGACACCACCCTCAGCCAGACGAACATGCGAACCTACCATTATGTAATGTCACACTGGGACCCCCACGAACCTAAGGTCGAACGAGCTCACGCCCGTTGTGCCT